GGGTAGGTGATGGCTTGTCAAGTATATGATGAGACAGGAGGTTGTCGTGAGAGATAGAAGAATTCCAAGCTTGCTGTTGGAAACGAAACGGGGAGAGAGTCTCGTAGTAGGTGAGCGCTGGGGAAACTGCGGCAGTTGGGTGCTCGCGGAACCCCTACCCCGAAGCGCCGACCAATCATGGGGGGAGTGTGCCTTTCACTTCTGCCTCTACCTAGCGCGTTGTTGCTGTGGCGATATTCATGCGTGTTACACTGTCAACATGGACGGACAGGACTTTCGTATCTTGCTGTCACCCTCCCATGTGCAATGACAGGTGCTCCCGACATCGAGTCTTCCGAAAACGCAGATACTAGTTGCGAGCCGTACCGTACCACGGAAACCAGTGAACTCAGGGGAATAGCAGTACGTACTTGGCCTGAATGTATGAGCGATCACAGCGACCGTCAACGTTCTGTGACTCTGGAGCCATTCGCGGTGATAAGCTTGGCTCAGCCGCGACCGGCGAAAAGCTTGCGTCGCATATTTGTACTTCCTTTTGAACCGACAGAAGTCTTGCTTGCCTTGTTTCTTGTCTGAGCGATTAGTTGTGTGTCAAGCTTTTGGGCGTTGACACACTGCTTGACCCCCAGACTATCGCATTAGGTGAAGGACAAAGGAGATGAGGGGATGAGATATGGATTGTCTACCCACAACGAACCAAAAGACATGTATTCAAAGTCTACAATACCTATTTTGAACCATAGACGCACGAGATGATGGTATAGACATCCAGCATTTAAGGTCGTCGACATTCTCGGCCGATACTGCCTTCTACGACGTGATGACGTCACTGGAACTGTCGACTTGTTGTGTGTCGGCGCAAAGCACGAGAGTATCTTTTCATAGCCACTATCAACTGCAATGGTACGAACCGCAAGTTCGGTGCTTGAGGGATCAAGCACAATCTATCCGTGAGCGTTGTGCCATACCTGTGCTGATTACTATTCAGCACGATTGGCCTCGGTCGTCCCACTAATCCGGGAAGCTCCCGCACCACGAGTATACAGTTTCGGAACACTTTTTAGATTTGTGAACAAGCCGCGGCCATATGCAAGAAAGCATTTGTAGTGCATGGCTGACCATCCAGAGTATTTCTGATCTCGTGCGAAGCAGTCAGCCAACTCGGCAGGCGCATATGGCGCCCTAAAGCCATGACAGCCCAGAATTTGATACCAGCGCTTACGAAGATTCTGAGGAAAGCCGGAGTTCAGACCGATATGCACGCTATGAACCCTAAGACGACGGGGATATAGTTGCCAGCCGTTGGGGCTACCATGAGTGGATCCGCTCGAGCGCGAGTACTGCTAAACCTTACCCTTCGTCCTGCTCTTCTTCTATCGTTATCTAAATTCTGCGTGACAATGCAGTCACCTGACACTCAGTCACCGAGCGAACTAGAGAAAAGGGTCCAGTCTTTTGGAACAGAAGACGACGATCACAGATCCGACATGGAGCAACGTGGTGCGACAGCAGGACCAGAGACACCGTCTGAGAATGAAAAGGCATCAGCAGGAGGGATAAATGTCTCGGACTGGGATGGTGATGACGACCCAGACAACCCGTACAATTGTATGTTCTTCATGTCAACACTGCGATGATGACTAGCACTGACAACTTTCTTAACACTTAAGGGTCGACGTGGAAGCGCTTCTATCATGCCGCAGCACCAGCCTTGTTCGGATTTGCAGTGTAAGTCAACAGTTCCTCTGTGCTCTCAATTGCTCACTGTAGCCACAGTACTTTCGGCACATCTGTCTACACACCAGCTGTATCCGACATCATGCTCGACTTCGATATTTCGCGTACAGTCGCGCTCCTAGGCCTTACATTCTACACTTTAGGTATCGGATTTGGCCCCATGGCCACAGCACCTCTTAGCGAATTCTACGGCCGCCGCATCATCTATCTCGTCTCGCCGCCTATCTTCATGCTGTTCACGCTGGGCGCTGGCTTTTCGAAATCATTCTATGGACTGGTCATTTGTAGGTTCTTTGCGGGATTCACTGGTAGTCCTGCACTGGCTGTTGGAGCAGGAACTAATGCCGACCTATTTCCTCCACGGCAGCGTGCTGTGGCTACAAGTATGTTTTTGGCAGCACCATTTGCTGGGCCCGCGCTTGGGTGAGTAACTACCCCTCTCTGAGTGCCGAAGCTCTAAGCTGATGGAAATAGGCCCGTGGTAGGAGGCTTCACAGTCCAGTACAAGAACTGGCAATGGAGTGAGTGGTGCATGATCTTCATCACTCTATTCGCATTCATCTTTACTCTCCCAATGAAAGAAACATACAAGCCAATCATCCTAAAGCAACGAGCGAAGAAACACGGTATAGAACTGCCTGCGACCTCCCAGAAAGTCACAAAGGTCCTTGCAACAAGGATCCTCCGGCCATTTCACATGCTGTACACTGAAGTGAGCCACCTAGCCTTTCTTCCAAACTTCAAATGCTGACTCCATACAGCCCGTGGTCTTCTTCTTCTCAGTCTACACCTCCTTCGCATTCGGCGTGCTCTTCCTCCTCTTTGCCGCAATCCCGTACATCTTCCAACGAGCACCGTACCACTTCACTGTATCCCAAGCTGGACTCGCTTTCATTTCCGTCGGTGTCGGTGTGCTTCTTGGCGTGGTTACGTGCATCCTCGTCGATCGGACATTCTACCAGAAGCAGCACCGCAAGATGATCAGCGAGGGCGGAACGCATGTCATGCCCGAGCATCGGCTGTATAGTGCCATGATAGGCTCGTCGGGGATTGTTGTTGGGTTGTTTTGGGTCGGATGGTGTGCTGGTACCAGACAGCACTGGGCGGCGTGTTTGGCGGGCGCTATTCCTTTTGCTTGGGGGAATATTTGTTTATTCGTAAGTTACTCCGGTAGTTTCCCTTGCACAAATTATGCTAACGTAGACACTAGACGTCTGCGGCATTGTACCTCGTCGATGTATATGGCCCACAAAACGGCGCTTCAGCCATGGCAGCCAATGGAGTTTCGCGATATGGAATGAGTGCGGTGTTCCCACTGTTCGCTGTGCAGAGTAAGCCACCACTACCCGCAAAGGCTCCTTGACATCTCGCTGACATTGACTGCAGTGTACGAAGCGCTCGGCATCGGCTGGGCCACATCACTCCTCGGCTTTCTTGCGTTGTTCATGCTGCCCATCCCTTGGGTTTTCTTCAAATGGGGCCCAAGCATCCGAGCGAAGAGCAAGTACCCGCAGATGGGGTAGAATCCACAGAGACGCGTGCTGTTCAATGTCGATACGCTCTTGGGATCTTCACTGCCAGGAAGTTGACGAGGGATCTTGCCACAGTGCTCGTTAATATTGCAAAGATTCTGTCGCCAATGGTATTGTCACTAACACGTCTCTATCACTTCGCGGGGCGTGACGTAGTTTCATGTAAAACACCAACCTCTCCTGCCTACCCCTTCCGCGCAGCCAAGTCTACAACCATGTTTCCCTTCCATTATCATCAGTGGGTGCCAGTGCCAGTCATAACACCAGCATACATTCAACCACAGCTTATGGGCCAATACGGCAGTCCTCTTGCGCCCTTACGACAGCCAACACAAAATGCCGCCAGGCCCGCGACGCTGCCGAGGGACTACTACACGTACCACAACAAGGGCGTATAGCCAACCACCGAGACACCACATTATATTCAACATTCAAATTAGATATAAATTACATCATTAATCTACACCCCCTTATCCCAGCGCCTCCACCATCCTCCCCCTCCACCTGCCTCCCCACCTCCTCATCGCCCACAGCGCCGCACACCCCGTGACCAAACTCCACACCCCCAGTATCGTCATCAACCAACCATTCCCGACGCCCTTGATCGCCGGATCCGCAACCACCGCCCCCGTGAAGCTAAAAATATTGCGCACAAAGTTATTCAGCGCAATCCCGCTCGCCGCGCGCTTGGGCATGAATTCCGTCAGCATGGTGTTGACGAGCGCGAAAATCAGCATCGAGCCGACGCCGAAGAAGAAATTCGCAATCATGGGGACGGCGATGTGGACGTGGAATTGCGCGGTCCAGCCGTAGAGAATCAGTGCGGAGGGGTAGAGGATGGCGGCGAGCCACGCGTTCTCGCGCATGCGGTCTTCAGGGCGGAAAATGAGTTTGCCGTGGGCGTCGTAGCGGCCAGCTTTGCGCGCTTCGCGATGCATGATGGCGTCGATCCAGCGGCCGCCGAAGAGCGAGGCGAGCAGGTAGCCGGTGGAGTTGGGGATGTAGAGCAGGCCGACGATGAGGGTGGAATAGTTGTATGGCGCCGAGGAGAAGGTAGATTGGATGCTGATGTTGAGGATGTACAAGGCGCCGAAGGTTATGCTGGCATAGTAGACGGTGAGTGCTACGGGGGGGTATTGCAGCCAGGCGAGGATACGGAGCGGGTCGATGAAGATTTGGCGCATGTGGGTTAGGAAGGTTTTGGTCTTCTGGACGGTTGAGGCGCGGGTGGAGGTGCGGACCAGGTCGGGGCGGATGGTCTTCTCGGAGGAAGGCGGGGAGGATGCTGCTGCCAGGGGAGTCTTGCGAGCAAGGGTTTCTGGAAGGGCGAAAATGATAAATATGAGTGTTGCGCCGCCATAGATGACGAGGAACCATTGAGTGCTTCGCCATCCTAGCCCAGAACCTAGGGCACCGCCAATGATGGGGGCAAATAGAGGGCCGCATAGAGGACCGAGATAGAAAATGCCCATTGCTCTTCCTCTTTCTTTGACCTCCCAGATATCTGCAATCGAGCCGGCGCCGACAGCTTGCACAGATGCTGCCGCGCCACCTGACAACGTCCGCACAACGATGAGCATCGCGATGCTATTCGACACTGCTGACAGGATCGCGAAGACGACAAAAAGGATGAACGATGCAATGTATATCGTCCTCCGCCCCAACCGCTCACTGAAGCTCGACCACCACAGCGGAAAGATAGCCATGCTCAACATGTAAACCGCCACGCTCATGTTCGCGACCGTATGGGTAGCATCGAACACAATTGAGATCTCTTGAAGCACAGGCATGACAATCGCACTCCCCATCGGAGCTGCCATGGCGCAGAAAGCCACGATGAACGTGAGGAACCATTTCGTCTTCCTGGTGTAGTGATACGGGTTCTCGACCTCGGGGATCAGAGTGAATCTCGCTAGGAGCCCTCGTCGTTGCGTTCGAGGGACCAGAACTGCGTCTGGTGTGACTGATGTCGTTCTTGATAGCGTTACCGGCCGGTTCTTGGCAGTTGGTGAAGCTGCTTCTGGATCGCTTGAGGAATGGTCGGATGACGTCGATGCTCGAGATGGTGCTATTGAGATTGCGTCTTCTCTCTTGTGGCCATCGTGCTCTCCCACGATTGTCTGCTCCTCTGACAGATCACCGCTGATCTTGTTACCGACATCCTGCTCTTCCACTCCGGCAATTGGTGTAGTGTCATGACCCGAGGAGTCCTTCACCCTGGGCGTCGGCGGTGCCTTGTCGGCTTCTACCATGTTCGCTCACGCCTGTCGCAAGGGTGAGGTTGTTGAGCCTGGAGTCGCGTGCTGCATGCATCAATATCTCTTTCTCCACTCTGCTTTTCCGTAGCTTTTCCGATGTTCACGATGCCACTACTTTGTGCCTCGGCCGACGCAGAATCGAACCGTCACTAATTTACTAAGCTCAACGCCGATCAGGCGTGCTCTTAAGAGAAGAAAAGAACAGAGATAACGAAGATCAGAAAGCTCATGTGAAACAGGACAAACGATTCCATTTCTCGGAGTCGGATGCATGCGTCCTACACCGACATGTTTGGCCCAACCTGGACCCGGTGCCGACATGCTGTGGCGATGCGAGTTTTGCTGCAGGGCTGGCTCAGGCGCGGGTTTAAGGTGGAGTACCCCGCAATGGAAGCTATTTCCGGAGGGTCATGGATCGTCATAACCGAATCGTGTGCAATTGCAGAGGAGATGCATGCTGTTAAGGGCATCTCACTGGTGAATTGTGGCGGATGATTTGTTTATGCTGCAAGTCGGAGGTCAGCATGGTGTTGTAGTCAGCCAGGAAGCAAGTGCCGTAAGCCCCGAGGCTCGCCCGAAACAAAATGTAAAGCTGGCACGCCGTTGCATTGCCGTTAGAGATCGGCGGGGTATGGAGCTTCGAGGTTCGGAGGGGTACATAACTGTATTCACACGTATCATTTCGACTCAATCGCAAACAACTCCAAATCTTGATGCACCAGTTCTCATGTTAGATCTGTCACCGAGTTTCTGACTGAAGCATCGATCCGTCTGCGGCTATCTTCGCCGCTTTAGCCGACGTCACACGAGCTCCACGCGCGTTTCAACACTCCCGCGCTCAACATCCCTACGTCCACGAATTCCACTTTGTGCCATTGACACCGGACATCAGCCCCAAAGGAATCCAGGCCTGTTCTCCCAGCTGTCCACCAACATGGCCAACCCCAACCAAGACCGCCTGCGCTCGCACTTCGCCGCCCTCGACCCCAGCACTCACGCCTCAGGCTGGGACTCGCTCTGGGCTGAAGGAACATTCATCCCCTGGGACCGTGGCTACGCCAATCCTGCACTCATAGACCTCCTCGCGAATCCCAGCAGCCCGCCTACATCCTCCGATGCGAACCCCACGCCAGGTGCGCCGAAGCCAAACACAATCGATGGTCAGGGTGTACAGCTTCCCGCACCTCTAGAGGGTGGTGTAAGGAGGAAGGCGCTGGTGCCCGGGTGTGGGAAGGGGTATGATGTTGCGCTGTTGGCGAGCTGGGGGTATGACACGTGGGGATTGGAGGTATCGAGGCATGCGGCGGATGCGGCGAAGGAGTATCTGAAAGATGCCGGCGAGGGGGCTTTGGAGGGCGAGTACAAGATCAAAGATGCGAAGATTGGAAAGGGACGGGAAGAATGCGTGGTTGCGGATTTCTTCGACGATGCGTGGCTGAAGGATGTTGGGGCTGGGGAGTTTGATGTCATTTACGATAATACGGTAAGGTTGTCAATTGGGGGGTGGTTGGGGCCGTGGCTAATGAGAACAGTTTCTATGTGCCCTCCCTCCGCTGTTGCGACCCAAGTGGGCGGCGCGAATGGCGCAGCTACTTGCAAGGGATGGCGTCCTGATCTGCCTGGAGTTCCCAACCCACAAGCCTGCGTCTTCAGGCGGACCGCCGTGGTCCCTTCCCCCCACCGTACATCAAGAGCTTCTCAAGCGGCCCGGGGAGGATATCTCATATGATGAGGGTGGCGTGGTGGTTGCGACGGATAGGGCGGAGAGCGAGAATGCGTTGGTACGAGTCGCGCACTGGACACCGAAGCGGACACACAACATCGCCGTGATCAATGGCGTTGTGCGGGATTGTGTGAGCGTGTGGCGGCACAAGAAGCAATCATAGCAGGCCACCTTGAAGATGAAGGACAATGACCACGTGCATTGCTCATCCAGCTTTCCGCAGCGAGTTGTAGTGCTCGCCCAACCCGTGACTGTGCTTGTAGTATCCCAGCCATATCTCTTCCAGATCTGCTGCGGCTTCCTCAGGCTCGATCTTGTCCACTCGCCCGTCACTATGCAGCACACATATCCTGAGTCCACATGTCCGTGCCAGTGCCAGCAGCTCTAAATGCCCGCCCCACTCACCCGTCTCCCTGATCTTCCTCACATGCTCTGGGAGCGGGTCTTCCATAAATCCGGCGAAGTCATCCGCATGACCCTCGATCCAGTCTGCCGCTGCATGCCGCACACCCCTATAAGCTTGCGACTTCTCTGTTATTATGACCTTGATCTCCGGCTTCAAGTCCAGCTCCCTGGTCTGTAATTGATCCGCGACGGCAGCATATAAGCAATGCCCATCCGCCCTGATCTCATGTAACGCCAGCTTGTGTTTCTGCAATTGTGTCTCCATTCGCTCGCGCTCAATCTCTCGTGGATTCGGGGCATTTGCAGCTTCGAGCTCTGCTTCGCGTATTGCAGCGTCTTGTTCGGCGGCGCGACGGGCCAGGCGGGCTTTTGCACGGTTGGGCTTCTTCTTCCTACCTCCCGACCCCGTGTCCTCGTCGTCGCCTATTGTGCTACCGTCCTGGCTCTGCGTATTGCCACTGTTCATCTGCAGCTTTGCAACACCATCCTCGATAGTGTCATCGTCTTGCGCCTCCGCTTCGTCCTCTGCTTGCTCTTCCGCAGCCTCCCCATTCAGCGCAGCAAGCTCGCTTTCCTGCCGCTCCTTGAGCTCCCTTTCCAGTCTTTCGCACTCATCATTCACACCTTTTCGCGTCTTTTTGCTTGCTTGTTTCTTCTTTTGTGTTGTGCGTGACACCAGGTCGCGTTGCTCTTTACGGTGACGCGCTTGGAGAGCTTCGAGGGTTTCGGGCTGCGGCTCGGCGTCTGCCATTTCGAGTGCTGAGGCCAGTGAGATGGGACGAGATTGGCAAAAACACGGGCAAAGCGTAAAGACTGTGGTTTTGCGTATATCTTTGCAGCAGAAGATGTGACGATGGTGGGGTGGTGGGGGAATTCGAGAGTAATTTCAAGCTCGGCGGAACATGGCGCCGCGGGAGTGAGCTTCGCAGACTTCTTGGACCTCATCCTTCAGTCCCATCTTCACTAACATCTACAGTCGACATCAACTTCTGTTTCTCGGCTTAGCAGCATTGACGACAGGGAGAACGCTCACTTATCTACCCATAGGTCGCACATGGCCCTCAGTCTCTCACGTTAGGACCCAGTCATGTGCACCTCTGTACGTAGTAATGCTCCGTCTCCTAATGACAGCGAGGTCAGTTGAACTTGTACTTGGTAAGGATTACTATAGGTGGTTGTCATTCTGTATCCGCTTCGCTACCGCTCTGCCATGTGCTATAATTTCCAGTGGATGTACTGGGCACGATTGTGGGAAACCCAACATTATAAGCATGAGTGAGCGTCGAGAGCTTTCGTCGTCGTGACTCTATGTGCTGTACCGTAACCTTTCGTATCCTCGGTAAGCATGTGTCTTGTTTCTAAATCAAGTTCATGCTCTCATGTTCCAACGAGCATTACATTGCTGGAAAAGCACATCTTTTTCCCTCTTTCACTGCGAATAGCTTTTCGAATCTAGCGCGCCTGATTGGACATCCACGCTAGTGACTGCTCCTGTTGCTCGCGCTTTCCTTGAGTTGCAACTTCCTCTGCGACACTCACCCCACAACTTTACTCTGTCAATTGCTCTTCGCTCCGGTGCTGTTCTCAAGCACCCGAAGCTATCAAAATGTCTTCCGCACACAGCGAGTACGATGATGCCGATTTCGACGACAGCCTCTTTCCAGCCTACGCCAAATACATCAACGGTGTCGAAACGCCATGGTACGAGCCACATGACCGCCGTCTGAACTACTTGCCCTATACAGATGCTGGCCCGATACCTTACACCAACAGTATGCCCTCCAGACAGGTAACCGGCGCACCCGCGAATTTCAACATCAGAAACGGCCCATCTGTCCTCGATCTGCGCTTATCCTCCAATCACCCACAGCTAGGACGTCTCGTTCCGCCCGAGACACTTCGTTCCGCTCCGCCACGGCCGAGGACTCGGGCGCCAGCACAATCCACCCCAGGCTCTACCAAGCACCATCAAGCTGTATCCTCTGCCGAGATCACAAGACAGAAGCTACTGCAGGCTTCTCTGGAACGCTCTGGCGCTACAACTCCACCCATGCTAGTCGGTCGCAATGGTTCTTCAGAGAAGCGCCGTATGCCAGCACGACAAGCCACACACCCTTCTCTGCTACGCTCCTCTTCTGCTACCGACAAAGACAGCCAGGCCGGAATTATGCCCCCGAGCGGACGGCCGCTCCCATCCTTTGCAGCTTCGCCTACACCAGTGCGGCCCCAGGCCCATCTCTCTCCTCAAGAACCACGGCAGAGTGGTCAACTGCCTTCAACTGCGCTAATCAGGCCTGGAGAGATTCTCAGTGACCCCCGCTATAAGGACGCTCCACGGTCTAATCTCAAGCGTATTGATACACAGATTACTGGGCTCTACGACATTGCACAGGGCCACCCAGACCCCGAGTTTAGAAGGCAGGCCTTGATAGAAATCGCAGCATCTAGTGCGAAGATTCATCGTATGGTGTTTGACAGAGACCAACAACTAGGAAAGATGCCACCGGGAGGGGAGACACGAAAGCAAGCTCATGCACAGGCACAGTACTCGCAGTATCGTTCAGCACAATCAGCGTCCCCTCATGATCAGCCGCAAGGCTTTTCAGACGGCTACGAACAAGCCATGCCCTCTCCACAGTACGAAGCTCAAGTCCTTCCCCAGCAGCACATCAAGTCCATGCCACATCAAGCGCCTGTCCAGCAGCTCCCGCAGCAGTATGCGCACCCAGAACCAGAAAATCTCCTCCCAAACACACCACCCAACATCTCCGGCGATCTGCGTGGCACAATCAATGCCCAAATTTCGAAGTATATCCAATCTTGTTCACTACTCGCCGCATCTCCCGCAGATCCCGAAGGCGCAGCTCGTCGGAACGCAGCGCAAAACTGGCAGAACGACTTCAGAGCATTCCTTCCGCCTGCCGGCCTTCAATACCTCGATGAAACAGTTGCAAAGATATTGTCTTATCATCCCGTTCAGGCTGCACAGCCTCATCTTGCACCGCAAGTATGCCCACACCCGAGCATGCCTTCACACCAGAACGTCCCTTCACACCCGTACGCGCCTGACCAAGCAGGTGTCATTGCTGAACCTCTTCGTCGATACATTTTCGCCACACTGCCCAAGTACTTTGGCGCTGTGAGAGCCCGTATGCTACCTTCTACGCCGGCGAATGCAGCGTTGCAACAGCAGGCGCATGCTTTTATGCAGCGATTCCGAGCTACTGTACCAAATGAGGGCCATGATTTCATAGACGAGATTGTACGTAGGATGATCATTGAGAGGAATGAGGGGCGCAATCCTATGGCTTTGCTACAGATCTGAGGAAGTGGATGAGGGGGAAACGAGGGCGAGAAATTTGATCGGAGATGCATGAAAACTCTGAGCGGCGTGGATATGAGATAATAGGAACATGGACCAATCTATAGCAATCACTGTAGCTGTCATGTCGATTCAGTTCCACACTGAACACGGAATGAAATACCTGAATACATCGACTGCAGGACGATTGGGATTTAACGTATCGAATCCGATTTGACCACTCCCATATCCAGATTCCTCTGCTGTATAGAGTACGCGTGTCTATATTCGTGGCTACCCTTGGCACCATCTCGTGGGACATACAAACGCCTCTGTGTCTACGTCGACATAGACGAGAAGAGATTTTGCTGAGATAGCTACTGAAGGTGAACAGGCTACGTTATCCATGATGCCTTTGTCACTTCATAAGTCGATGTTGTCCTCCGTGATACGTCCATATATCCCAATTGCGCTATCCTTCATGTAACAATGTGCCAGCTCATCGGCTACGACTCATCATTAATAGGTTGATGAAAACACTTCCTGAACCACACATGAGTCACAAGCAGCACAAAGTTGTGAAGACATCGATGTAATTGCTAAACTACTTGCTGCTGATCAACAGCCCGCCTCTCTGTTAATCCAGCCTCGGTCAAGAAGCCTCCTAGTCCTATGCCCAAAAAAGCCCATATGTCCTTAACTGTGCATAGGCCTCACATGATACATGTCCCGTTATTAGTGGAGTCGCAAGAAGCCGTATTTGGTATCGATATCCTCCTTTTGTAAATGCCCAGCAGCCCCAACCCTCTGCTTGCGTGCTTCAGCGAAGAAGCTCCCGTCCTCCCAACAAAGGAAAGACCTCCGGGCAGCATCCTTGAGACTTGTCGAGAAGAAGTATCCGCAAAAACTTCTTTCATTTGAACATACTGCTGCAGTGTTCCTAGCGCTTGCAGAATGGTTCGTCAAGCGCGGATGTCGATGCCCCATGTCAGCAGCCCGGCCTACTCCGCTGACGCGCTCCGGTTAAGGAAGCTCCTCAATCAGCACGATACGTGCTCCGCTCGGAATGGTTTTTGATACAAGGCAGAGGCCCTCCAGGTGCTGGTAGCCTGTGGTGTATCATTGGTCAGTTGAAGAAAGTGAAAGCCCGGCGAATCGGAACCCTCGTGTCGGAAGCAAAACTTGGTCGATGTCCTGTCGTGGCTTTCCGGTATCATAGGAGACGATAAGAATCGTCTCGAGTGTCGACAGCCCCATGCAAATCGTAATGACTGCACTCTTCCGAAGAGGATCCCTCGCTGCCGACGCGCTCCGATCAAGGAGCTCCGCAATAGACGTGATACACGCCCCATCATGAGAAAATAAAGTAACAGAACCGGGCCACTGGGACCAAGGAGGCCGTGAAGCCAGATAAGGGTATCTGCTACTGCCTAGGCGAGTAGAGACGGTCAAAGAGACAGAGAGTGGTTCCTTCAGTGCTACAGTTAAAGCACATGGAGGACTGTGCCAACAACCCCACCGATGTTGATATGCTCAGAGTGAGGTCCTCTAGAGCTCCTGCGGTGAGCCGCGCATGACACGTTTTGTGTCCCGCAACATGGAGGATTCGAGTTTGTCTGGATTTGAATCGTGCCAGTAACATTTTTTTAAAAAAACGTCTGCCTAGGGCCGACGTTTGGCCCCGGAGGACCGTGCCAACAACCCCACCGATGTTGACGCGCTCCGAGTGAGAAGCTCCCGCGATGATGAGTCGCACATGACACGCGTTGTATCCCTCAAGGCGGAGTTTTCAAGGTCGCCTGCATGATAGCTGAAGATTGTCAGCAGGATTTTGAGCAACGGAGACCTCAGTCCACGTACCGAGCGGCGAGACGGCCACTTTACGCTACTCACTAGTTAAGTGAAGCATGTGGGACCGACAGCTAGGTGGGGTGTCGAGGCGCTCGAAGTGACGAACGTCCGTGCGCCATGGAGAAGGCGCCGTGAAGGCATGCAGCATGTGCCATTGTCGGGATACAGGCAAGAGGTCGGCTTGTGGCCCAAACTCTAGTCGACCATATTCTGTACAGCGATTAGAACCCGCGATTGTAACAAGGCGTACCGTAGCGTACGCAATTTGATAGACCGAGCTGGCCTTGTTGCGCAGTCGACAAAACAAGGTTTGGGTGTTTGCGTCTGGGTTGAGCGAGGGCGGGTAAGAGTAACAGGTGAGCGAGACGACGCGTTGTTTGAGCAATTGGAGATCGCGCTAGACAGAAAAGAGCTTAGTCTACAAGACGTCATCAATTTGGGAAGCAACGAGCACGTGTGAACAATTTGCAGCCTCCTGATGACTCTGAAAACATTCTATGATCAATACAGTACGCCCGAATGTATCCATGGGACGCTGTAGTGGCGTTGCTGACTCCACAAGGCCAGTGCTGTCCGTACGCCGACAGATTGCCGAGTATATCGGCCACGCATCGAACCTGACCATGGTAGACGGAGGAACGGATAAGATAAATCTCACAGGATGGACGACCTGAGTTTCCAGTAGATGATCATAGGCACAATGCGACAAAACTTCAACACTCCATCTAAAGCGTTCATCGATCGTGTGCTTTTATAGGCGTTAGCATGACGACCCCTCTAGACGTGAGGAGCAAAGAAGCAGCAACTTACGCCAGAGACGGAAAGAGGCTGTCGGGAACTTTCTCTATCATGGTGGATGCAATGAAACGACCAAAGCCCGGGTTCTTGTTCAGCATATTGAAGAAGTCATCGCGCTGGGCAACGACTTTGCGATCCAGTGAGTGAATGCGCATTTTGCCTTCGATGGTCTGTTTATGCACGCGATTAATCACGTCTTTGCGTCGCAGAGTGGCATATTGCTGCAACAAAGCCTGCCATGGCCGAGGAGAGTGAGTGGAGAAAGCTTGGGGTAGTAGTCGAGATAGATATGCGACGTCGATGAGGCCAGTGGTCAGACCCAAGGCGGTCAGTGGGTTGCATACCTAAGTCAATCTGTCAGATCTTCATTTGAAGCAACATTCTGAGCCAGGAGAACGTACATGAGCAGCATCTCCGCAAAGAACAACTCTACCGCTCGTGAAAGTCTTCGCGACACGCTCATGGGCCCAATACGGATTGACGGCAACGACATCGTACTTGAGCGGTCTCGGTCCCGGCAAAAGCTTCTCCAATTTCGCCGGCAAGTGTTGCTCGATCTGGTCGACCGGAATCTTGGGATCAATACCAGTGGCGATGCGCCAGAGTCCTTCCTTCTCGTTACTTGCCCGTACAATGACAGCCCAATCTTCTGGATCGATCACGTGGTTTGCCGCCGGATAGCCATATTTTGCGAAGTCGTACTTGATGTTGATCGCAAGGAACCGCCAATCATCCCAAGTTAACCCTTCGAAAGGTATGTCAAGCCGTTTCCGGACAGATGAAGATGCGCCATCGCATGCTACAAGAAACTGCGCTGCGTAGAAGAGATTTTCTCCTATATGAGGCTGTGCTTCGACAATGACAGTATCATTTTGTTCTTTCATGTCCACGAAACGAGTGTTGTACTTGATCGTAAAGGTAGGACATTTCAATGCGTGGTTACGAATGATGCCCGCCATCTCCGGTTGAGCAAGCTGTACACCATAGTCAATCTCACCGTCTGATGCCTCGCCTGGAGGTATCTTCGCAAGTACCTCATTCGTGCCACCGAATGGAGTGCGGAAGCACAAGCCTTCTTGGTTCTTGTAGCCCGCCTCAACGACATCATCAAGGATGCCTGACTTTTCAAACTCATGGAGCACAATCGGGAAGTACCTACAGGCGTTAACTTATCAGAGTATTGCGAGACGCGGATTTGCATGAGGCGAACATTAGGGCCCTAGGGCTGGGAACAATATCTGCCTCTGCTTCTAAAACCAGAACCTCAATATCCTGTCGTGCTAGACTGAGACCTAGGAAAAGACCTACTGGTCCACCGCCAATAATGATAACGTCGTACATGCTTGAATTTCCGAATGGAGATTTAGATTTGAAGAGAATAGAATCAAGCCGAATTGGGTGATATTGGGCTTTTGAGAGGGGTGTCAGACTTTGCCTTGCAGTAACTCTGGTGATAAGTGAGCTTCCTAGCAGCCTTGCGTATTAACACTAGTGGTTTCTCAAGGCTGGCCTCGTCTTCGGCAAGTCAAGAAGGATGCAGGACAGGAAACGCGGCTCGGCTGCTACTACAAACTCCGATCCGAGACAGAATCTCCACTGAGGTGGCCCCGAGTCCTGTACCCTGCGGATTCGCATTCGAGAGCGGCGGATAAGCTGGTGCCTGATGTCTCCCATAGTAGAGCGCTTGCAGCTTGTGCCTCGTTTCAAAGTATGCTGTCTTTGCCATCAGAGGTCGTCCTCGGTCAAGCAAAGCCCTCGAGGCATCCACAACCCCGGAAGCAAGTGCGTCGGCACCAGTCCAATATAGAAGCCGTTTGGAAGCCCATGACTTTGAATGTAATTATGTCTCTCAGTAACGGTGTTTGTCGTACGAGAATGTTATTGGAAAGGCGTGGGTAGAAAAATCGCACGTTGTCGGCGGAACTCACGCGCTGCCCCACTTCGCACATGCACCCTTCCCTGTTCCATCCACACACAAGAAAAATTCTTTCTCATCAACCGTAGTATTGCATCTCCAGATGGGCTCTTCTCAGATTCCGCTCCATACAACACAGTATAATAGTTAGTTAATTTTTCAATATGTCCATCGTCAAATAAGACGGCCTAATGGCCCAATGGCAAGGCGCTTGACTACGATTTCACAGTAATCAAGAGATTCCAGGTTGTAAGTTTAAGGATCACCGTCAACCTAGGTTCGAATCACAACTAACACGATTCAGCGACCCCTGGTTAGGTCACATTTCTTTTTTTTCAATTTTTTTCACAAATTTTCTTTGTGCGGAATGTTTTGAACAACCACTTTTTCCCCACGAAAGTCAAGCTCAAGAAACACCTGTTCAAAGGTACCTGAGAGAGAAAGATAGCCACGCCGTCCCCAAAAATAATGCAGGCAATAATCATGACAAGAGGTAGTGCAAAACGAACATTGACGTGACAAGGTATAGAGTGGATGCTTTACACGGATGACTTTCCTGACGAACCGACCGGAGTAGTCCAGATTCAGAATCCTGACTGAGAGCCTCAATGGCCTCAGCCTTTGAAGAGGCTAGATCATGCATGATTCTGTAATTTGACTCGAGCTTCATTCATAGGCGTATACTCCACTCCGGTCAGGGCGCAGATAAACAGTTCTATGCCTAATCGCTGCAGGTTCATAGAACATGAGCCATTGTCAGAACCGCAAAAAAGATTCTCTTGTATGATCATTCATGGTGCGGTTGGCGGTGGAGTTTTCATACTCGACGGTCAATGGCGGATTAAATGAGCCAGTGTAGAGGTTGATGGTGGCTGGATAGTTGTAGCCAACTTACGGCATCTATCCACGTATGCGCAGGGCCATCGGCTTTTTCCTTTATGCTTCTCATCTTCTTTGCGAGCTTAAATATCTCTACAGCTTCTTTTGTAATCTGAATTGTTAGCTTTTTTGAGAACGTTTTTCGTGCCCGCTCGATATCATGGAACTCAGCAAGCAACTCCTGATCAAACTGTTAAATGCAACAAAGGAATGAAATATAAGATCATCATACCCATGACATTGAGTGCGCAAGTATTCAAGCAACTGCATGTTAGACGCTGCTCTTCCTGCTTCGCACCTTTGCTCTATTCTGACGCTGGAGTCTGCTCGCAGAGAAAACTTAAAGCTACTGCTTCTTGCGGCATCGCAGGATCTAACAAATTGCTGCGAGTTCGGCTGCATAGAATTATCTGATAACGTGAGTGCTTTCTTAAATTATCGAAATGTTTGAGTCGAATTGGAGTTTTCTTCTAGCAGATAGCGACTGCGATGTATAATTTATGCTGGTTGGTATTTCGATACTCAATAGTGTAATCCCAACTCCTTGTGCATCTGTCTTGCATCTTAAGCCTGCTCTGGTGTCTTCGAGCTAATCTTCTCTTACCTGCCCTGATCCTCTCGCGGACAATGACGAGAATTTCACGCTCTGAGTTCTCAACCCCAGTAGATAGCCTTAGCATGCTGTTTCTATTCATGAGGATGTATGGTGATCTTATGTAATGGAGTTCAGCAACATGAAAGACATTTGAGAGGTTGAATGGCTCAGACGCGTAGTTAATAGTCTAGATCATGTCATGAAGATCAACACTACCTCGCACACTCTTTCCAAGATTTCAGTGAACGTGTTAGAGTGATCTATGTTATGCGCCGCTATGCTTTTGTCCAATTGAGCTATTGATCCAGAGGCGAAAGAAGAAGAAACAAATGAGAATGCATCGATGCGCTAAGCAATGTAGATGTTGAAATAAATTTAGATTCAGAGGTGGGAGAAGGAAACAATTCAAGGTCTAGAGACAAGCAATTAAGACAGAATCTCGTAGCCTAAGCTTAATGCGTGTGAGAAAATCTGATTATAACTCTGAGCTTGAAGATTACTGGTGAGGACGGTAGGTAGTCTGTGCCAGAGTGAGCACGCGCAACCCTTCTGTTACAAGTGAAGTTTATTCTAAGATCACTCTACAGTTCTTAATCCTGCAACAGTCGACGAACTTGAATCTCAATCATCGCTGTACAGTCAAGTACTACTTCGCATTCTATTACTATATGCGCAGACAACAGAAGCATACCTCTTTGATCTAGAATTCGTCTCGTGGGTTTGGATTCAGTCTCCATAGCACTCGAATAAGAATGTACAACGCGGCGGCTGGAATCTGTTGCAGTCAACAACTTTCAATCTTCTACTATATTCACACAATTCTGCCTTCTCGCGAGTCAAATGAAAACTTCGGAGTGTGGCTCAGTGTGGTAGTAAGAATGCTCAACAACATATTGATACATTTATCAGGCAGACGGATCTCTTTGTGAACATGTCGTGGAACTAGTATCTTCAACCGGGATAAACTAATCATACTATGTGAGAAGTCTACGTTTGTAGTCTCGGGTTTTGCCGCTTTCTTGGAAATGTTTAGATTCTTGATGTGTACAAACGTGCTAGTTGAAAAGAATACGGCTACCAGTTCTCTTCACGCCATCAATGAGGGCTTTACATACTACTCTGGAAACGAGCGTCCGAAGATGTTTCGCTTCAACTCGAAGTTGCGGGTTAGGATATTTGCCGGAGAAGGCTGTGGAAAACAAAGCAAATATGTGAGTATTTCTTTTCAAAGCGAGAGCTTGAAGCATGGCTCCAGACATCGCAAATCACACCTGAAATTCACTACGATATGCTATTGCAGATTTTTACTACAAAAACTTTTACCTTCCAGGCATATCCCGTTCTCTCAGCCATATCGTGAATTTACCTTTCCGTCTCAGTCAACTTTTTGAGCATCGGCGCTTCTCTCTCACATCTTACATAGATACTGGATTTACTGCACTATGAGCCGGCAGCAGCCCAGACAGGATTGACAGGTCAATCTACCGCCTGCAGAATCTTCACGGCTATATTTGTAAAGGCACCTTCATTTCGGTTTGTCTCAAAGTCGACTAGCAAGAGGTATTCGCGTTGCAGAAATACAAAGATAGAGTTCGTGCGCATGCGAGAAGACGAGAAGAAAGAAACTCTGAACAGCTAGGACCAAGTGCAGAAAGATGAATAGAATTAGAACGATTCACTCTGGATGATGGAGAGGGCGCAAGATTACATGTAGCAACTGAGCCTTCCGACCAGTATGTTATGTCGAAGATACTTGCACGTTCTCAGAAGCGCCGTGAAATTCTAGATAGGTCTTACAGCTTGGAGCAGAAGACATGAGCAGCAAGCTTGACAGAAGTAAGATACTTGCTACCATACCTAGACTGAGCAGTAAGGTCAACATAAAAGCAATCCTGAGCTCGAATATGACAACGGCATTTCCAACGTTTAACTTCATGTCTCTACTAACCTCAGTTGCCCTTCCCAAGACAGTTTCTCAAAATTGGTAAGAAAAGACAGCGCCAGCAGAAGCGAACAGCTTGAATATGAGAAATCTTTGAATCATCCTGCAGCGACAATGTCGAGATAGCTGCTACACGCCTAAAGATAGATGCTGATACATATCCAAGAACATCATGACCTGACTGCGCGACAAAGAAGAGAGAGAACTTGGCATTGTACTTCCACTTCTACGACATAATCTCAACACCAATACTTATAGCTCAGAATGTACTGGCCAGAAATTAAGATTCATGTTACCTTAATCTCTTGGACAGAATCTTATCCTCGCTCAGAGCGCTACATGCAAGATCTTTTGAGTTGTTCAGTTAGATGGTAAAGCAAATGCAGATCAGGACTGGACTGTGTGCAATTACGGTGCTGAAGAGGTTGCTGCGTAAGATGAGGGAGTTGCGCTGTAGCTCCGCTCAAATTACATATTCGCACTTTGTATTTAAGAGACAGTAAGGTTCTTTCTCGCATTTGCGATACCCGAAGAAAATTATGAATCTGTACATTTTATGTATCCTCTAGTCAAGACTTGATGCCGGCCTCTCCGCAAGGTGTTTTCAGAATGCAATCATCGTGATCCTTGATGGTGATGTAGACAAATAGGAAAGAGTAGAGAGCGTCACAAATATTGATAGAAGATCTTTTACAAGAGCATGCTGTGAAGGTTATGATTGGCAATTCTTAGATATTTGAGTGTGCGTAGGCCGTACAAAGGTAATGCACGAGGCCTGTATCGTTGAAGGTAGGTGCAGTAATTTGACTGTCAACGGCAACATCATGCTTAAAACATTGCAGATCCATTCCACTTACGCATCAGAGTCAAAACCTTGCCACTCCTCCTCGTCGCCATCCTCGTCTTGAGTCTCAGTGTCGAAACCGCCGAAAGGTAGACTCTGCACATTCTCGTCACTTCCTTCTTCTTCCTCAGCCTCTTCTTCACCAACTCCCTCGTCATCACCTTCCAAGAGCATCTCATCATCCTCAATCTCTAGGTCCTCCTCATCGCTATCATTTTTGATCCACAACTCGTAGGCATGGTATTTCTCAACATGGTCCAACCAGCTTCTTGAGCTGCGGAAGAGTCGACTAGGACAATGAGGGCAAGGCACGTCACCACCAGCTAGAGCCTTTTGCATTGTGTTGAAAGCACTAGAAAGCTGAGGCTTGCGAGAATGTGTACTCCCCTTGTAATGGAGTTTGAGGCGATGAAGAACCCACTTCTTCTTCTTCGCGTCTTCAGATGCGGTGGGGTCGGCGACACATAAACGACAGATAAGTCCAGTACTCTGGCGACTTGTGTGGGCAACGAAGCTCTTGAGGAAGTCGATGCGTGACTGCTCTGAGCTGGTTCCAGCTCGATCCTGGCTTCCCTCCGCGATTTGCTCAGATTCACGGACTATCTGTATAACGCCATCGTTATTAAAGTCCTGCCAGTGGCTCGGCTCGCCACGAGGGTTGCGCATCTCGTCTTGAATCTCGTATGCATCTATGTCAATGTTCTCTTCCTCAGCAGCATCGTGAGAAGGCTGGTCGGTGCTGTCATGTTCTTGGAGCAGAGCATGCACAGCATTAAGCCGCTCTCGAGTTGAGGCTTCATGTTCCTTCTGACCTTGGGCAATTTGCTGCCGAATGCTGCCTGACGTTGCACCTGCTATGGCGAACCCTTTCGTTGCAGCAGCCATACCAGTCTTGAGTTGTGCTTTCGTTTCTTCTGCAATCTCCTCGAGAATGACCTTGCGCAAAACCGAACGCACCTTTTTCCGAGTGAGCTTGCGCTGATATACAGCTTCTTCTAGAGCCCGAAGAACCTGCTCTGCCTCGGGCGTTGCGATGCTTCTCAAGGTGGCCTTGTAATGTCCAGTATATTTGGTGGTGTATCCGCGCTCGAGCTCAGTTGATGCGTCTAGGGAATGGATCAGGTCGTATGTGTTATCAATGCATGACTTGACCGTCTTTGCAGCATTGACACATTCCTCATCTTCACTCTCGCGCTCTTGAAGTCTCGTCTCGAGCTCTGCTTGCAGAGAACCTTTAGCGTTGGTGGATGCTGCGGCATACAAAGTCTGCGAGGCTTGATCAAAAATCTTGCGAGCTTCTTCGCGAGAGATGGTCTCACGGGAGCGGATGTAAGCTATAAATGTAAAACTGATTAGAAGAATTTCTCTCTATAGATGCTGCATGACGAACCTTGAATATCGATATCAGCGACATTGACGGTGTCGTAGCTCTCGTGTATCTTTGACTGGTCTGCATGTCCTGCAATGGCTCTTGCAGCATCTACGCCATATTCGTGTTTGGTAGAAACGATTCTCGCGCGTCTGAAGCAGTACATCGTGTTGCGTTCTGGCAGTCCAGCGCGGATCAGCATGAGCCGGAGGCGTTCGTTGACAACCCTGACTCGCATAGGCTCATTGACTTCAATGCTGCCAGCTTGATTGGCGCCAGTGAAGACGGGCTGGCTTGCTACAACAGGATCGACCTTGAGCCAAAAGTCATTTGTAGAAAGCACATAGTCTAATCCTCCTGGAAAGAGATTACGCTTGATGGCCTGGCCGAGTAGTGTGAGTGTCAGATCGAGCTCGTGCTGTGGCGAGGGCGAGCAATCGGGAAGGTAGAGAAAAGTCCGTGACATCTCGACGTAGTCGTGTTTGTACGGGTCGCGGTGACCTTTGATGAATCGCAGGGTGAGGCGAAAGACAGACCTGACCATCCTAACAATAATATTAGAATTCGTCCATAGTAGAGCAATGCATGATAAAAAGGCTTGCCTTCTTGAAGAACTCGACATCTTTCCAGCGAAGGGTATCGTCAGTTCCGCGCGGAGTGCCGTCGCTTCTCAAGTCGTTGCGTCCATAGCCGTCAGCAAGAACCAGTGAACCAGGCCGTGCGCCAGTGCCCCCACGCCCAGAAAGCCCACAGATTGTAATTCTGTTGGCTATTGTCTACGCTTGTAGTACGACTGCACGACGGCTTGGTACAGCATACAGAGTTCGACATCTGTCAAGGATGTTCTTCTTCCATGACTCGGCAGGCAACTGATGGTGCGTCGCGACGAGGTGAATAAACTTCATGAGCTCATTGTGCCAGTGCAAGAAGATGGTCGAAAAGGAATCCACAAAGCGCGCATTCCACCAGTACAAGGTATGCTTGATCTGATAGAGCGATCCAACTGCCAAAAGTCAGAGACGCATGGCAGACACAATGCAGTGGAGCATACCTTTAACTTTCTCGTTGATGACGCCCTTTGCTACAATGGCTACGCCACCAATGTACTTCTTCTGGTTGTCGACAATGGTGGCCTTGTCCCAAATGGCGGCGTGGTCTCGTAGGCCAAGTTGCTCCTGGCAGAAGAATTCAAAGTCTTTCAGATGTGCTGCACGACGCTTGCGCGTAGTGGGCCCGGAAGGATCGTACATCTCGGACTTCTTGATGAGCTGCTCGATGTCGGCCAAGTCTTGGAGCTTGAGCTGTGCCCATTTGGATTTACTATGGGCTGTAGGGGCCTGCGCAAAGGGCGGTGCGCCCTGTGGTCGTTGAGCCATGGCGGGTGACTATGCGCGCATACAAAGAAAGAGAGAGTGTGTAGGTATCTTGGGCTGAAGAGAAGAAGTGGCAGTGGTTGAGAGCGGGCTAGTGCGTGGTGAACACGCGATCGACGCGCCGTGCAAACGGGCAGTCTTACCCTGCCCACGCTCTCAAAGCGGTGGGGAATAGAAGACCTCGGATCGTCTCTCACCTGACGCAGCATCTCTGCCTCGGCGCCATCCACTGCGCTGCTTCAGCTTCTACAGCATCGTCTCACCTTGGAAGCTCAACGACACCAGGATCCGGCGACATGGCAGACAACGACCCCATCAGCAGCGACGCTTTTGCGAAACTCAAGGTCGCACAGATGAAGGAGATCCTCAAAGACCTCCACGACAGCAAGCAGCACGGCAGGGTCAAGCGCTATGGAACAAAAGACGAGCTGACGCGCGAGTATCGACGCATTGTTGGGGGTGCAGCAACGGTCAGCACACAGGAAGACGATCAAGAAGAGAGAGAGCTAGAGGAAGAAGCTGAACAAGCTGGACCAGATCTAGAACAGATCGCACGAGCTCAGGCAATGTTCGACGCAGTCATGCCTCCTCACCAGCACCGCCCTCTCCAAGACGACCAGGAAGATTATGAAAGATTTCAGATATCCTGGCGGGACGTACAAAGCGCGCAAAGACGACATCAGCGATACGCTAGAGGTTTGTCAGACACAGCATTTTGTCATGGATATGAACTGACGTACCAACTTGCAGCAGCTCTACGGTTTCTGCAATGCGCTGGACACAGCGCTGACTCGCCTCGATGTCAGCGCTGACCACTCAGCAAACCACGATGCACTCGGCGCAGAGCTTGAGCGAGCCTACTTCCAAGTCCGACTGGACGATGCGCGCTTCGCAGATTTCTTCCTCGCACAGGGCCTAGACCTCAAGGAGCCCGACCACGACATGCAGATGGGCATGCAAGCAGCCATGGCGGGCGCCGATTTGGATGCCATGGACAAGGCCATCAAGGAAGAAGTCAACATGTTGAAGCTGGTGGTGCAGCATCGCATCTACACTTGGATCGAGACGTTCCCGATGCCAGAGGGAGACGACATCATCTACCCGCAGGATTTTGTGGATACGGACCGCAGGGCGCTGAGAGACTTTGTCATGTTTGCTTTGGACAAGTTCCAGGAGGAGGACGAGGACGAGGAGGGCGAAGTCGACTACTGGGCGCGTGGAATGTCGGACGAGGACATTGATGGGTTGGTGGGGCGATTGGACAAGTTGCCATACCCTCTGGAGAGTGGCTATGGTCATAATCGCACGGTTCTGAGAGCGGTGCTTCGCGACGTCCACAGCAATCGCTCGCGCTCCGTGTCTCTTTCACGCTCCCGCTCTCGCAGCAAGTCTGTTGCAGGAAGCGAGCGCTCCATCTCCCCGACTAAGTCGCTGCCCCCAATGCCGCACGATGACGACGGCGATGATGATGATGATGATGACGAGGACCCGGTTGTCGCAGAGAGCAGCAAGAGATCTGGCAAGAAGCGCACTCGTGTGTCTGGAGGGGTGCGGGGTCGTGCAAAGAAGCGTAAGGGCAGTGGCTGAAGTTTCAACACCGTCGACATTGGCAGGTGGGGTCGGTGTGTGTACCGACGTCTTGCTCAGCATCACGCGTCAACTTGAACTCTTGTAGCACTTGTGCAAAAGTAGCACCTAGGAAACCTCTGATAGATGAGCAACCTTGTTCTCAATCTCTTGCCCATGAAGTCGTCGCATCTTGCCTTGCTCGTACTGTTCTGTTCTGTTCTTCATCTTCCTTACATCCTCCACTTACACCTACATGCCAGACAACTCCATCACTATCAAATCTTGTCAACTTGCTCCTGCTCAAGGTGCGCAAATCGCTTTTTATGAACCACGAAGCCACCGGCATTCCAACGGGACAGATGGAAGCTGAGCTTGAGTCGCTTTGGCACAATTCAGCGAGACTCGTCACCTCCAGCTTCGACATTCTTGCATCTTCATGTGCCTCCGCCAGCGAACGTGGATGCGATGAATTATACAATCTTGAGGGATTATGAATTCCCCACATGTTCTTCTTCTTGTTGTTCAACTATTTGACCAAGTAGGTATCGGCGATAGAGCAAGTGTCAGGTTTGTAGCTTCTTGTCATGTCTACTGTGGTTTGCTGGAAGCGATGCAGTTATGCAATGCGCGACGCTTCTTCCGGCTTTTTTTTTTTTTTTTACAGGGTTGCTGGTTTCTTGCTGGCTGTGTTGTTATCGTTGTTGTGCACTGTGTAGAAAGATGGTCAAGTGGTCGGGCACACGCAGAGAAGTCTGATTCTCCATGTTTATGTCGATGACATACTCAGGTTGAGTGCTCTCGTCACCCCCATTCTGTTGCGACTTTTAGCGTAGTGCAACGAAGTACTGTGATCATGGGCGTGCCATGTGGGTGGTCGTGGTTTAGAGGTTGTCCGGGATGAATTATTGACGGCGTGCTATGTTGGTGTGTCAGTGGTGGGCAATCGGCGGCGGTCGGAGGTTTCTGGCTGCTGGGCCGAGGTCTGAAGGTGGGAGCGCTTGAGAACATCAACCTTGGAAGTAGTTGCACGTGTGTAGGCACTCATCACGATTATAGAGAACAGTGTGTATATTGTTTTTTGGTTTGGTCTAAGGGGCGGTCTGTATTGTTTGCTCGAGAATATCCGGGCAAGTTGTCCTCCCCCTGGGCTCCTCGCTGGCGCTCGGGCCGCCCAGGGGTCGGAAAACTTGCCCGGACGGAGATTCCAGGTTCGACCCCTGGTTAGGTCATTCAAGTTTATTTTTTGCCATTTTGTCGTACTGGCCAACTTGCCGTTCGCTCAGACACGGGCTAGCTATAATTTTGTTGAGTCACAGACATGAGTGGATCTTGAACCCCAGCAGCATGATAATGAAGTCGTGATCTTTTTTGCATTGTTCCTTGAATAAACCCACGACCTAGCTAAGCTCTTGCGGAGGGTTGGGTGAGCGTGTTGCCACCGTCAGGGTACAAGACCTGCTCGTTGTAGAAGACACCACCTGGGCCGGCCAGGAGCAGTACAGTAGCAGCCATGTCAGTGTCCTTGCCGGGTCGGCCAGCAGGGTTCGACATTTCAGATTTGATGACACTCTTGTTGTCTTCGTCCGAAGAGCCCGTGGTCATCTAGAACAATTAGCAACGTAGCTGATATGTGGAAGGACGCGACGCACCTCTGAAGGGAACACGCCAGGCGCGATGGTGTTGACGCGGACCTTGGTGCCAACGAAAGTTGTCGCCAGCATACGACTGAGATGGGTGGCAGCTGCCTTTGAGCTCGCGTATGCAAACTGGCCGCTGCTGCTGCCCTTCATGTAGCCGGAGATACTGCTGACATTGATGACTGAGGAGGTATAGCCCGGAGTCACGTCTTTGCCCTTGGCCAGCAGAGGCAAGAAGGTCATGCTCATCCAGAAGATGCTTCCAACGTTGGTCTTGAATGTGTCGGCCCAGCTTTGTTCCTCCGACTTGAGAAAGTGCTGTGAGATTGACTCGGCATCGTCCATGTTCGGCTGACCAGCTGTGGAGAACTTGGTGTTGTCATCACGCGCAATACCTGCATTGTTGACGAGGAGCTGAATGCCCTTGGGCTCCTTCTCGGAAAGCTCCTTGTACAGGCGTGCTACATCCGCCTTGTCGCTAACTTAGAATTAGTGCCCGGATCATTATAATGCAAATGCCTTATCGTACCTGACATCACCCTGTAGAGGGATGATCTGTCCTGGGCCGCTGTCATAAAGCTCGTCGGTCTTCTTCAAAACCTCTTCACGGCGGCTTGTAATGTACACCTTTGCACCGTTCGCTACAAGAGCTTGTGTAATCATGAGACCAATGCCTGTACCACCTCCAGTGACGAGGGCAGTGACGTGTGATACATCAAAGAGCTTGGAGCCCTTGAGCTCCTCGTTACCAGCCTTGCCGTTGCCCATGTTTCTGACAATATGGTATGACGTTCTAGGAATGAAATTGGGTTGGGTCCTGAAAGTCGAAGCTGCAATGGGTTTTGATTTCGAGAAGAGCCGAAGCATGTTGAACTGATTGAAGTCGAGGTGTGTGCTTTTTATGTGCGTGCTGTCCACAGGAGTACGTTCATGTACTATGTTCACATCATGACGTTGAGACGACGCACATTGCGCGGAAGGGTCCAGCTCAACAACGTGTCCAATATTGAGCCAAGGCGTACCATGATCGCATCTATGCATTGGACTCCATTTCCGGACTCACGACAAGCTCATGTTGTTGCACAAGTAACGGGCCGTCCACAAGGTAGTCCGAAATGTATTGGGAACAAGAGGTGCGCATGATGAACGCTCTGAGCGCCTGTAGCAATCAAATCTGCGCGGAGAACAAACGCGAGAGAACGACTAAGGAGCTCAATTGGTCGAATCTTGCGTCTATCCAAACTCAGTCAGTCTCACTCAAAGTGCATGATGTTCGAGGTATTGAGGTGCTGGAAGTCGCGAAACCGGAAATGACGTCACATCACGTCCGAGCCATCTCCATATCATCCCCGCGATATCCCATCTCGTCGGAGATAGAATCACTGTAAAATCCCGAGAAGAACTTACAAAGCACTTCCGCGCTGGCGAAACGTACAAACCACGCCCTCTTCCTAGCACGCAATGGCTTGTTTGTCAGCCTGCATGAATGTGATTGGTCAATCCTATTATTAACCTCGGTCGGGAATAACCAAAAGCTTAGCTATGGCATCATCGCCACTTGTGTGCGGATGAAGGGCAGCTTGACGTCTAATAGCACTGCAAGTTCACAAATCAGCATTTCTAATCCGCGTAGTATATATGGCAGCCGTAGTCGCTGGTATTGATCATAACTTACCCACCAGCATCTAACAGCTCAAACTCGACAACTTCAACCATATCTTCACATCAGCAAGACCATTGCTCTACTATCACATCTGCAATACGACGCAACATCCTACAAAATGACGACCACCGCGCACCACCCGACGCCCGCACATCAACTCTCCACACCCTCCGCCTCCACGTCCTCGAAGCCTGAAGACGTCAATTTCCAAGGCCTCCCAATCCCACGAGGTCCTGTCACCGCTGCGCTCTCCTTCTACAAAGCCCCCGAAGACGGCGCACCACCACACAACTACGTCGAACCACCACCCGGTGTGCCGCAGCGAAACTGGGGCGATGACTGGCAAGAGGTCACACTGAACGACCTACGCGGGCAAGAAAACAAGTTCAGCCTCGACCACAACGCCTTCGATACATACCAGAATGTCCCCAGCAACGAGCACGAGTTCACAGACGATGCGCGCATAAAAGAGGTGTATTATCCTGAAGTCGAGAAGCTCTTACTGGACAACGTTCAGGGCGCAAAGCGTGTCTTGCTCTTCGATCACACCATCCGCCGACCAACGGGTAATCGTAACCCAGTGACTCGCGTACACATCGATCAAACGCCATTCTCCGCCGCCGAGCGCGTGAAGCTGCATGCTCCCGAAGATGCTGAGACATTGCTAAAGGGTCGCTACCGCATCATCAACGTATGGCGCCCGCTCAATGGACCAGTCATGGGCTTCCCGCTCGCAGTCGCGGATAGCCAGACTGTCCAAGACGAAGACTTGATCCCGATTGAGCACAGATATCCTAACAGGAACGGCCAGACGGCGGCTGTGGGGTATAATGCTGGACAGAGCTGGTACTACTGGTCTGGTATGAAGAACGAGGACCGCTTGGCTGCTCAAGTGCCTTCGACAGTGACGAAAGTGTTGGCAAATGGGGAAGAGTGCCGCACACTGCATTCAGCGATCCCAGGACACCGGAAGGCGCTGTTGGCCGCGAGAGTATTGAGGTCAGGGCTTTGGTGTTTGGTTAGATTCCTCGCTCGTAAAGATGGTTTACGATTTACGAAGCATTTTTGTTTGAATTCAGCCTAATGTCATTCACTCACGAAGAAGATAGCATGTTTGCGAACAATGAACATTATTATTGACTATGATTAAATTACTGCGCACTATCAAAGAACTCTGGGCTAGGGGTATCTGGATGCTAAAACGTTAAAAGAGAATTATGCTCGCTTGCTGGAAAAGGTGGCTCTTGCTTCCGCCATGCTCATCAAAACATTCATCTTTCAGTATGGGAAATTACTCGTAGAGACTACGGTCGTTCTGGTCGTTCTTAAGAGGAGGTAATTGTGGTGCGCTCGCATCCCTTGGTGCAGGGTTCGCTGGTGCTTCACTGACATTCGACGATGCTTGCGGAGCAGGAGCAGCAGGTACTGGTCCCTGCGGCGGAGGGCTGGGCGCAGGTATGGGGGCCGCGCTATGTGCGTTATACACGGGTTGTGGTGCTTGAGGTGGTGCCGGCGAAGTACTGAGGGGCGAGACAGCTTGGCCCTGAGGCTGTTGTGCCATGGCAGGATGTTGTGATACAGGAGATGTAGAAACAGCGGTTCCTTCCTTCGACACGTTGCTGCCATAGTATCCCGCTTGTTGTGGAGGAGCGTACATATATCCTTGCGGTGGCATGAAACCCTGGCCATCAGGCGTGGGCACCCATCCAGGTGGAGGAGGTCCATAGTAGTAGACCTGACCTGGCGCACCCGGAGCACCCGGTGGAGGACCAGGCATGAAGCCAGGAGGCGTTTGAGCCATAGCCGGGTGGATAGGCTGACCTTCTGGGACGACGCCAACGGTCAGCTTGGAGAACTGTCCGAGGTGCTCGACGGGGTATTTGTGCCTGAACCCCCACTTCCACCATGCCTTGAAAGCCGCGCCAGAACCCATATTCTTCCACTTCTCTTGCAGAATCTTCTGGTCTTCCTTGCTACGCGCATCTTGCATCCTTGTGAAGCATAGCACCAAGAGCGAGATCAAGATCCAGCAAACGGTACCAAATCGCATTGCGCTCTTGCCGATCATGAGGCGGCGGAACCAGAACCAAGATTCGAGGAATCCAAGGAGGAAGAGACCGGGGATGACAGAAGCGATGACGATGATCCATGTCCGTAGAGGTGTGCCACAGTAGTACGAGTATCGGTAACAGCTGTATCGAGAGCTGCTGCTGTTGCTATCGTCGTCATTACTGCCTCCCGAACTGCCACCGCCGCCGTAGTAGTAGCTTGAAGTACTGCGAGCGCCAGGTGGTGTGCTACAGGAACGGATGTAGTATCGGTAATAGTAGTCACTGGAAGAAGTGAAAGGTGCAGCATTGGCGCTAAGGTACCATGTCTGTTCGATATAGGTAGTACTTCCGTATGTTGTGGTGGAGCCGTCGACAGTAGAAGTTGGCTTGATTTGGTCTTGAACCAGCGAAGGTACTGTAACGGATGCAGTCGTAGAGACAGTGAATTGGGTCGGGCAGCTTGCAGGCGCAGTCATTGTCACTGGCATCCTGTACGAGACAGTTGTTGTCACCGACGAGCGTGTGGTCGAGGAGTAGCCTGCATCGCCATATTCCGGCTCGAGATCGGTCGCCGCAACGGCCTCCTGACCATAGTACTGGTAAACAACCTCCAAGCCACCATAACCCCGGTCGGATCTCAAGGTCGACGTCGGCGTGGCAGTCGGGGTGACGGAAGACTTGATGGTCCGCAGTTCGTCTGTGAATGTGTATGTAGTAGTCGCTCCATTTCCTCTTGTGTACACAGACGTGGTCGCAAAAGCGGCATAGCGAGTTGTGAGGGTCCAGAAAGCGGAAGTAGAAGTAGAAGAAGACTCATAGTCATCGTAATCCGACGAATCAAGTTGAGCGCTGGCAGCACTGAAGAAGGATAGAAGAGCCACGAAGGCACAAAGAGGAGCCATGATCGCGTGCTCGGACCGGAAAACGAATGTGAAGTCGCGAAGCAACAATTGTGGATGCAAGGCTGGCGTTCCACCTTCAGGGCATCACCATCATTTTAACGCCCATGAAGCTCAACGCTGTGCCGCAGCTAGTGTGCGACCGACTCACGCCTGGCTCACCGGTTTTGCAGAGTCACATTTCGTTGTCGTCCTTGGCAAGAGGATGCAGCCTGGACAGCATCGCGAAAGAGCGCGTCCGCCAATCACAGCCAGATCGCAAAGCAAATCATTCGATCTTTTGGGTCGAGGGCTTGCTCTAAGTCTTAAGCGGAATTGGATGGCTCTATTTCTGGTCTATGCGGCTCGTATTGGGATGGTGTCCTGCAGGGGTGACGGGAGGCCTAACAAGGCTTCAGTGCGGATAATTCTTTGCACCGCCCTATGAAATATTGGAAGGCTGACTGACCACCTCGTTTTCATAGCTCTCTGTAGGCAGCACCGGCGAGCATGATACAGTTCTTCATATTTTGATCCCTTGTCAGCTGCGTAGAGAGCTGTTCCTGAATATGGTGTGCTGGCGAAACATGATGGCTCGTTGTCCGTGCCGAAATTCGAGGTCCTGTGGCGTCGGCGGAACGCGCGACATGAGAAGCGCGATCTCTTGGCGACACATGATCTTTCACACGCGGGCAGGCGCGTCTTCGTCATCCACCTTTTACGGTAACTCGCAAGATAGGTCGAGTCCGGGCTTGAAGACTGCATCCTTTCATGGAACCTCGGCGTCGGCAACACCGCTTGCTACCTAAGCTCGTGAAGCTTAGCAGCTCCTAGAGAATGACAAGCTTTGGTCGCCGGTAGTTCGAGATCCACCCGATAAGCATTGGCCAGGAGAGTGGGCCATGCGGTTTTCGACGGTCTCGCCAGTGAATGGAGCTTCATTCTTTTTTGTCAGCCTCGGACACGCGACGCTAAAGGATGTAGCCATACATTCTCTCACGCTGCAGAATAAGCGAAGCAGGACTGCGATACTCTAAGAAATGTAGTAAAATCTTTAGGTTGAGATGCAAATAACTCTAGGAAGTCTTTCAAGGTGTTTCAAGATAAATGCAAGTGGGAGTCTATATCAGGCTAACAATACGAGCTTACATGTGATGTTGGCAAGAGATGTGTGCTGATATCGGCACGGGGGAGGAAACTGGAATGTGCATTGTCCAGAGCTTCATCATTAATCTATAATGATGGGCGTCTTTCTCATAGTGGTCTTGCATGGTGGACATTTCCCGCCGTCGTAGCACAGAGCAGAGCCCTCGGATTGCAAAGCCCTGCAGGGAGCTGCAAAAGGTGAGTCCGGTTGTTCTAGAACTGACGTTGTCGTAGAGAATGCAATCGGCCTCAGTGGTGATACTTTGAGATTTTAAGCTTAGCAGAATGAGAACGGGAAAGGACGTAGGTCGGAGCCTTGCAGCGCGGTTTTGATCTAGGCGTTTTCAGCGTAGCGCGCATCGAATGAAGGAAACCGGCAACCGCGCCGCAAGACTGAGCCTCGCGCTTCCCTCTGATCAGACAAACTTATGCTTTAAATGTTGAAATTCCAGCTTGCAAGATAAGATCTGATCTCGTACACCTGGATATATCTAGGAACGGTTGAATTGGAATCGGATCTCATCCGTCGACGCTACTAGTAACTGCCTGCCACGTGAGCATAAGGGTCAAGCTTGCGCAAGCGAAGTTGAAAGCATAGAGAAGGCTGTGGCGATTTCAACATCGATTGAGACCTGAGAAACAAGACTGCTCCTCAGATCCTTGAGAGCAGTGCAATGTCAACGCCACAGCGCTCTCCCCTTCACCACCTCCAAGATGCACACGTCACACGCGGCTCCACTTCAGAGCTCACCACCACACCGCTCTAGAAATAGCCCGGAACTATCTCGAACATATGTCTCGGCTTTGATTACCCCGCGCTAGATTTCTGCTGTGTTCTTGTGTGTTGAGAGACGGGCCAGTAAGATTTCCGCCGACGAACTTTATACGAAGCAGATAGATTATTTCGGTAAGAGGGATGCAACACCAAGACCCGGAAGCCCCGGATTGCAATCTTGCATTCCGCTGCAACATCAGATAGCCTCTAGATCCCCTTGATAAGAACGATGTGATGTGGACAAACACTTTTCTGCGCCAAAGTGCGCAAATTGTCTACAAAGTCAGGATTTGAAAGAACATTTTCGCCATGTCGACAGCTCGGTGCTACACGTGCCATACCCTACGTCCGCTCTCCGACTTTTCATATCGTCGCAAGGACGGCGCCGTCTCAGCAGCATCGCAGTTCCGACGATACCTATGCGTGCTGATGAGGCGAGTTGATGCAAAATCTGGAAATGGTGGAGTCATATACCGCTATCGATGTGTACATCCGCGTCATGGAGATTGCCCGAAAGCTGCGGCGGTATTGCGACCACAGGACTCATCTGCACAGATTCAAGTAAGGGAAGAGGTCGAGGAGGCGACAAGGCTCGATCATCGGGCGCTTGGAGATGAGGCTCGACGTGAAGATATACGGGACGTTGAGGTGGAGATTGACGTTTGCGAAGACCCTGAGGGCGAATTCCGTGCGCAGAAAGAAGACGCGATAAAGAGGTTGCGCCAATGCGTGGGTACGGCGGAGAGTCCTGCGATAAGTCCATGAGACAAGGAACGATCGAAGCTCCTCACCACAGATCGATACGCGCTGTTAGACCCCGTTGTCACCAGACTACACACATAACTGCGAAGACAAGCTTGATATAAACGTAAATGAATTGGGTATAGTACACTTCATAAGAAGCAGCTCAAACTATGCTGTTATCCGCACAAGTAAACGCGCCGTTTACCTGCTGATTCGGATCCGCAAACACCGCCAACAGCGCATCGATACTCGCGTACATCCCCGGGACCATCATGAAGAAGACCAGAATCATGATGAAACCATTGAACACCGCAGTAGCAAGTTTCTTTCCAGAGCTACGCCACTTGCCGTTCCAGTTGAGGTGGAACCAGAACAACACGGTGATACCCCACGTAAACCACGAGAGTAATAGCGACGAAGAAATGTTGAGCAAACTGTTGAAGACGGGAATGGAGTTGGCCAAGATCCAGACAACGACCCAGAAGAGTGTGACGGAGAAGATCCAGACGGCCCAGTCGGTCTTCTTGCTGGTCTCCGGCACGACAATCGAGGAGCGGCGACCACGAGTCGGATCCGAAGCGATCGAAGCGCGACGCTCAGTCTTGCCACCTTTGAGGATGTTGACGTGGCGCATGAAGAAGACATGGAGGTATCGCGCAGATGTCATTCCAAAGATGAGACCGGTGCCGAGAAGGCCGATGAATGAGACGGCATACGAGACCTTCGCCATGGTGGTTTGAAGCGAGCCGATGGCTGGAGATGCGACTTGCTCTCCCGAAAGCGCGTATACGACGGATGCAACGATGACGTAAATGGTCGTTGTGATGCACTTCTCAATTGTGACAGCTCGAGGGAAGTCGCGGGAAGGATTCTCCATTTCAGCCAACACAGTGGGAAATGCTTGGTTACCGGTATACGCAAAAGCAATGTTGAGGAAAGCAGAGACAGCTTGCGTGAACGTGGGGTCACCGATGACCTTGAGGTTCAGCGATGCCTCTGGGTTTCGTGGTCCTTGGACGCCGAGTGTGATCATGACGATAAGGACAGTGGCGATGATAGAGGCGGTGCAGGGCCATGATGCCCATGAGACAAAGCGCATGCTGTGCGGTACGCACATGGCCCACATGGCGATTGCGGCAACGACTGTGTACACAACAGTACAAGTTGAATGAATCGTGTTCAATCCTATGGTTAATGTGAGTAATGCACTGGCACTGATGAGCGCCATGTTGATCAAAAAGCCGACGGCAAAGATGCCTTCGACCCAGGGTCCACCGAGCACCCGGCCGTAGTCGACAATGTTGAGCATGTAAGGGTATTTTCGCCAGTATTGAATCAGGTTGTATGCGGTGTACAGACTCAACATGCCCATGACTATGATGCACAGAAGGCCAGGGAAGAAGCCAAGCACGTTCAAGGCAGATGGCAGTGACAGCATACCTGTGAGAAAGTTAGCTGGAGTGTCTCATGAACTTAGCAACCTTGGAAGCGCAACAGGGTTGCACGTCCTGGCCACCGACGAGGCTGTGCCCTCTAAGAACTGATTCAACATACCAATACCAACTTCATTCGTTACAAAGATGATGACGGCTTGTGATGTTGTGAGCTTCTTCTGTCCCGTAGTTTCTGCATTATTCGGTCGCTTGCTAGCATTTTGCACGTCGGAAACATCGCCTACGTGAGTGTCGCTGTCGGAGTGTGAGTCGTACTTTTCGCTGTTGGCAAAGTTCGAGTTGCGCAATGGGTCTTCGGGATCGTGTGTGGCGTCTGCTGCAAAGGGAAGCATTGGGCGTTTGGCGGATAGATGTTGGTCGTGTTTCGCGGAGGGCTTGTCGCTGTGGGTATCGGTTGTTTGTTGCTTGGGAAGAGTGCCATCGGCGGCGTGGTCGACATCATGCCTGTCCATGTTGAAATAAGGAACCTACACAACTATGTGGAGATGCGAGACAACGGGAGTAGGGACGAATAGAGCGTGTGAAGGAGGTTGTGATTCCAAATACGAGGCTTGCTCAAGTTGATGAGAAGAATGCGAAAGAATGGTTAAGATGAAGACTGCGACATAGAAGGGGTCTACGACACTTTGTATATGTGGAGAAGACGTTGGAGGCATTACGTACAGAGAGCGCTTGTTCGGCACCAAGAACAGTAGTCCGTAATAGCGCAGTGAAAGGGTCTTTCCAGAGGTCGTGCAGATGTCTGTGCTGCAAGCCAAGATGTAGGAGAACAACGATCTCTTGACCGACGTGGGACGTAATGGTAAAGTTTTCCACTTCCGGCATGTGGGCCAACAAGTCCGCCCTCCAAAATGAAGCGATTTGAGAGGGTCTCAGGGACGGCGTTTCGATGTGGACCACACAGAACTGTTTACACTGTCACCGGAGTCCGGCTTTATTTCGCCGTTACCCCAGGTGAATCCGCGCGTGGAGAGTTTGACATGCATACTGTGCATCGTGATGGTCAGATGTTTGCTGCAAAGTCTTGAGTATGACGTTGCAGTTGATGATCGGCTCGGGAGCGGCCGCGCTAGAAGCACATCCGCACCTTCTCTAATTTTGAGAATTGCGTGCGCCGAGCGAGATGGCGCGCAGCCACATGCATTCCTTCACGATTGGAAAATTTTGTGCGGCAGTCTACTAGCGTTCTCCTTTTCGGACGATTTGAAGCGTTTCGTCTCATGGCCTTCAATAGATAGCTGTCCTGCAATTGAGAACACGGACAAAAAGGGCATCGATGAAGGACTCGGGATGTGTCTCGATACGGGGTTGCGCGGGAGATTATCGGCAAGAATTGAGGTTACAGCCTTGCCGAGAGTGGATCATTGAGGCGAGCGGCGAGCCAGTATGTGGTAAATGGCTCATCAAGGAGTCCATGGTATCCAGCGCATGGGCGCGAGAAGCGCGGAAACAGGTGTACTGGTGGGCACAGGTGAACACGCGCGTCCAGAAGGGCAGTGAGAGTGATGGTGGCCGACTGATGCCTGCTGCGAGTGTGCCCACCAGAGTGAAAGCTCTGTCAAAGTCGCCATCTCCATCTTAAGGCGTTCATCAGCTCTCCAAATCGCGTTCATCGGTCTTCGACCTTTAACGTTCTCAACAAGTTCCCAAAGACATGTTCCCGGAAAAGACCCCCTTACAACACAACTCTGTAGAGTTCGAAGTCTTCTTACATCCCATACATGCTACGCTGCTCCAGTGTCAAGGCTGTCCAGTGACCAGATAGGTACCAAAGTTCTGGCAGTGGATCTTCCACATTCTGCTCGGATATGGCCTGGCACAATCGAGAGCTTCTAGAATGCTTCTACCTCGTGCAATGATTCAGAAGCCATGTCATGGTTCCCACTTTCGTACTGCCTTTTCATCCTTCAGATGGCGAGATCTCAGTAAGATATGGAGCGAGCCGGTCTTTGGACCCATCCTATCATAGATCGTGACACGAATTCTTGTGTGCCCAACTCCCGAAGACACATACACCGGAGGGATCCCACGGTGGTCTTTCCAAAGGTTCGAAATATTGAGTCACCTGCATCTGGATAAGTCAAGATCCAGAAGCGCGGTGAACGCAGAACTCATGACGATCGGTGTTGGTAGTGTTCAGTCACGAAAAGTATGCTTTGGCCCCCTTATAGGATCGGCAGGTACTTTCCAGTGCTGTGGGATTGCCCAGGTGGAGCGACGCACACGTGGCCATGTGGCGCTCTCGAACCGCATGCAATGGGGTACCCAGGACTGGAGCAGCGACTCTAATATTCCTTGAATTTCCTCTGATCCATCTCTTCACAAGCCCGCTCTCGAGTCCAAAAGCGTGGCGCGCATGTAGTGCATTGAGGTTGATTGTGGCTGGTGTCCGGGCTTGTGCACGCCTGAAGCCGATTTTCCGTTGTGAAGCCGCTAGCCGGCGCGGCTGACGCCATGTCCACCCGCATCTCCAACCTCACAGGCCGACGCGACATGATCTCTTCCGGGATCTGATACCTTGGCTCTGGGAGACGCGCACGTCTGCCCTCGAGTCGACATGGGTGAAACCGAACGATGGATGTGGAATTTCGACATTCCCAATCCTCAAGACCCCTTTCTTTCCTTTGCGATATACTCTTCTATTGTGATGCATAAGTGAGCGTACTGTGGTTGTTCGTCTTGCGGAGCGATAAGCAGGTTTCATAGCCCTGTAATTCACCGTCATTCATTCCTTCATCATTGCGAGACTGTCCCTCCCGATCGCTGAGCACTATCCTTCCCCACACTCTCACCCGATGATACCCCGGATATCAATCGCGCTCGCGGCGCTCCTCCACGCGGCTACCACCGCAGCTGTCTGCACGAAGCTCGAAGACTGTCCTCAGTTCGAGAAGCTAAAGACGAACGAATGCCAACCATTCCACCACTTTTTAGCGAGAGGCTCGACCTCGCCGTACCCAGGACATGTCATCGAAACAGTGGGCAAGGTCTGTGACCAATTGAACAACAACACTCGATCCTACTGCGTGCGGGTACGAAGACGTCGATTATTGGGCTATGAATGGCGGGGAGAGGTGGTGCATATCGGCACACGAGGGTGCAATGAACGGAGCTGAACAGATGCGCAACTACACCGCGCGGTGTCCAGACAGCCATTTGATTGTCATGGGCTTCAGTCAGGGTGGAAGTGTCCAGCTCGATGTGCTTGGTGGAGGGGGTGGCGAGCTGTGGGGATGCCAGCAAGAGGAGAACCCGGCCATGGACATCAACTCAGCGCCAGGCTCAAAGGGTAAGTTCCCCTAACATCACCTCTATTGACATTGAAGACTAACATCTACCAGTCGCCGCAGCTGCCATATTCGGAGCGACACGACGTAGCGCCAACCAGAACTTCACCTTTGGTGGCGGTGAGATCTCTGATGGCGGTGCGCCTCGAACCGCGCAACAGAATGCGGGTCTCCAACCATACGCGAATGCAGGCAGGCTGCGCGAGTACTGCCAGCCTCGCGACCCCATTTGCGCACCGCAAACGGAAAACAAAGACATGAACTTTCACCTCGATTACTTTGACAAATGGGGCACTGAGGCTGCGGATTGGGTGGTTAGCAAGGCTCGCGAGGCAGCTGGCATCAAGGAAGGTGGTGATGCAACCTCAGGTGCTTCTGACATGCTGAAGAAAGGCATTTCGCATCCAATCTCGAATGTCTTCCTCTTACTCATTGCGATTGTCGGTCTATAGTAAGTTTCTCCATTTCAGTCGACGTCGGAGCATTGGGGATTGTAGTTCGTTCGGGGTCTAGTCTAACGAATCGTGATTGGATATAGACTTATACAGTACAGTTTCATCGTCAAGCGCATCGCAGTCTGGAAGTTCTCGTCGACAAGATATACGCCCGTCAGCACTACCGAAGCAGTATAGATTGCAGCATGCGATTCTTGGTCATCCGCCTGAGCAATTTGGAGACGCGCCTCTTAACAGTCATAGCGCTTGGGAATACTTGGCAGCAAAGCGAGCCGTCAAGCAGGTTTCCGTGGGAATACACACTGTCAAAACGAGCAACTGGGCCAAAACCAAAGAAGACGAGGTTTTTTGTCAACAAGGGGCCAGAACACCTGTTGTGCCCATGTACGATACCCATTGAAAATAAGTTACATACATAGATTCACCGACATTAATACACCACCAGGCAGGACCCGGCACAAATTTTGGAACACTCACACTTATTTCTATTCATTTGCTCCCACTACCAGTTCGTCCAACTAGACATCATTGGGCGGTCTGAGTTCCAAGTCGCTATCTTCTTCATCGTCATGACAAATTACTAAATTTTGGAAGCGATACACCCCAAGCAATTTTACCCAGTAGGCATCAAACGCCAAGACATGCCTTCACCGATGTTCCACGCCATCTCAAAAAAAGTCATTAATATGAGGCTCATCTCTGTGAAACTGCTTTCAAACAAGTGTGTCTTAAAACCTAATGGAGACTTCTCAAGCTATTAGGTACCTCTCTGCATTATAGTTTCTCTGGACCCATAATCCAGTTCTAGCAATCCTGCGCAATGCTTATCACCGGCTTATTCTGCACCTAGAAAGGGTGCATGTTCTAGCATAGATACGTCGCCTGGCATTGGTCCTCCGCAACTTTCCGCTCAGCTCGGCTCCACAGGCGCGCATCAGCGAGTGGTTACCCCCAACCTTCCATCCGCAATGATAAGATCCGTAGATACCTCTATGGGGCGACATACCTTTGTACTGACACTTGAAGAGCACGGGCACAGTATTGAAGCACGCGACCCTGGGACAGACTGGTAGTTGTCCAAATTTGACTCTCCAGCTCTGTGGAATATACACTTTTCGTATACGCAGGGCGTATGCGACGGATAAAGCTGAATGCGCACCATCCTTGCACTCCGCGTATCATGATAGGCGCGACAACACCAGCAGCGTGGTAACTCTGCGACGGTACCACATCTGGTCAGCAAGGTGAGATGTGCATACCGATCAAGTCGAAAAGTTGAGAACATTATAACGCACCATATATGAATCCACGACCCCGTTTCTTTGGACGTGGAGATGTCTGCATTTCCAAACCTCTTTCGTTGAGACTGAATATACTTGTACGACCTGGATCAAACATCAAGAGTATACCAATAAAGTGGAGCTCACTGCATCAGCTCGCAGGTCGAATATAACAGCAAAGCCGATTCCTCGAGGAACTATCCTTGCACTTCAATGATGGGCGATGCAAAAATTACAACACATCATGAGGTCTACAACACCTCAGAAACAGCCTCTGACGCAGACGCTCGCGAGCTCGCCCTCATAGGCAAGAAAGCTATCCTACGTGTAAGGCCTTCGGCTACCCCGTCTATCGTCAATTACACCGTCTAACCCCCTGTGCAGCGAAATTTCTCCCCCCTCGCCATCCTCGGCGTCGCCTGCGCCTCGACAGTGACCTGGGAAGCCATGTTCAGTCTCTTCATCTTCGGGCTTTTGAACGGCGGACCCGCGGATCTACTCTACGGCTTCCTGTTCTGCTGGCTGGGCTGGGCAGCTGTCGTCGCCACCATGGCGGAGTTGGTGAGTATGTGGCCGACGGCTGGAGGCCAATACCATTGGACGTATATGCTTGCGCCGGAAAAATGGAAGAGAGGGCTGAGTTATTCTACCGGGTGGTGAGTGAATACGATTAGAGGGCGTGGATGGAGATCAAGGCTAATCGTGAGATATGTCAGGCAAAGCATTATTGCGTGGCAGGCGACTACGGCAAGTGCGGCGTATCTATCTGCAACTGCGTGTCAGGGATTGGTGATCAATAACCGACCAGACTATGTGCCTGAGCGCTGGCACGGAACGATGATGGTGTTTGCGCTGATCCTCGTGGCGCTGCTTTTCAACACGTTCCTCTTCAAGTTCTTGCCGCAAGTCGAGACTGTGGTTCTTTTCTTCCACATTACGCTGTTCGTCGTGTTCATAATTGTCATTACAGTCCGGTCGCCGACGAAAAGCAGCAATGACGAAGTCTGGACGCTTTTCTTGAACAAAGGAGGCTACGAGAGTAAAGGGTTGAGTTTTTTCGTCGGGCTTATCACGCCGCTGTTTGCGTTTTGCGGCGCGGACAGCGCCGTGCATATGAGCGAGGAGATTCGCGGTGCTTCGCGCGTGGTGCCTTGGGCAATGATGAGTATGTTCATACCCAATTCATCGGACGACCATACTGATCTCAACGCAGTGTCCATCTTGATCAATGGCCTGACTGGCTTCTGCATGCTGATCGCCATTCTCTATTGCATGGGCGACATCGACGCGGCTCTCGCTTCACCGACAGGTTATCCCTTCATCGAGATCCTCACCCAAGTGGTCAGTTCTATCTCTGGAGGCACCGCTCTATCCGCTCTTTTGGTGGTCATGTTTTGCTTCGCGAACCTCACTCTCGTCGCCAGTACGTCCCGCCAACTCTGGGCATTTGCTCGAGACCGCGCAGTTCCGCATTCTCGTGCCGTCGGATACGTCGATAAGAGGATGAAGGTACCGATCACCAGTCTTGCCATCACGTGTATCGTAACTTGTTTACTGAGCCTGATCAACATTGGGTCCGCAGCAGTGCTAAATGGAGTCCTCTCGCTGGCTGTCGCAGGGTTCTTCGGCTCATATCTTATTCCTTTCACTTTGTTTTTTTACAAGCGAATAAAGTATCCAGAAGAGGTTCTGCGAACGAAATCCTACGAATAATATAGCGCTGCGAGTAACAGCGTATCCTATAGATAGTATAGCACTGCTAAGTTTAAAGCTATTTATTATATTTTAAGTCTTAACTTCTATCTAATTGCTATAAAACTGACTATTCCTATAACTATAATAAGGAAAAAGATAAGTAAGATAAACTTGTCTATTAAGTTATTGTTAAGTCGTATGTTGTTATAGATTTTTGCCTAGCATATTAGACAATAGCTAGCTTTGCTTTCTAGTAAAGTATATACCTATAATTTAAGGCATGCCTTATAAAAGCTATATTTATAGCTATTTAACTAGACGATAGTATTTAGCGCGTCTTCTAAGCATATTAGATAGTTATCATCTTAGTTCTAGAAGTATGTTGTTAGTAGAGTGTAAGTAGCGCAGATAAAGATAATATATAGCCTAAGTATATTATAGAAAGACATTATTATAAGGTTGCCTAGATGCGCTGTAATGTAACTTAGGTAGATGTACTAGTAAGACTAGCAATGTTAGTAATTTAGACGTATAATGCATAGCAACTGCGATATATATATATAGTCTAATATAGAACTGTCTAAGACTTTATACTAAGTATTATTTATTGCAACGCATATACGTTCTATATCTTATTTTAGACCTTTGCTAATTAGAGGACATAGATAGGCAGTTAGAGACTAGTGTTATCTTCTTATTTAGGGCTATTCTAAATTAACTTTCTCTCTAATAATATCTAGTTAATTTTAGCAAGAAGGCGCTAGTTTATTTCTTACATGCTTATCTAGTATAGTATTAGGTAGCAATAAGTAGATATGCTAATAAATAAGAGAAAGTTAAAATTTTAATAGCCTAGATAATTATTAAGAAGTTATAATACCTTCTTCTAGTAAGATTCTTTATAATAGAATCTTGCAGCTCTGTAAGTTAAGACTAAGTAGTTAGAGATAGCATATCTAGAGTAAAGCATATGTAATATTAGCAGTGTGCAATTATAGAATACTTTCTCTTTAGTATTTTTGTTAAGCAAACTTTATTAGAAGAGAGTAAGCTAGTCTTTTATAACACTAATATTCTTAGTAAGTATAATATATAAGAGACCTCGCTAGTTAGGATTATCTAACTTAGTTAGGTTAAATAATATAAAATAAGCAGGCTAAACACTTAAGTTAACTTAATAGAAGTAGAGAGCTATAAGCTATAGTCCTTAAAAGTTACTTTCTAGCGCCTTAGCATATATATAGAAGCATATAATTAGCATCTTGCAACTAAGAGTATTAAATCTTTAGAGTAGCACCTATATCTTAAAGTATAAACGTTGTTTGTTAAGCGTCTATTAATATACGCAGTAGGCAAAGTTCTTAGTAGAGAATTTTAGTAAGAGCATAATAAGTAGGCTGTGCCTTTAAAGAGCGCACGTTGTTATTATTATATAAAAGATATTATAATAGAAAGCAGCTATAATCTTTAACTTGCTATTGCTATTGCTATTGCTATTGCTGCTACTAAGCGTACCTATAAGTCTAGATGCTTTCTAGGCTTTAAGATTTATAAGCACTATCTTAGACGTATACGAAACAAACGTATTAGGCCTTTCTAGTAAATTATAAGGTACTTACTTATAATTATCCTAATCTAAGAGAAGCTAACTAATCTTAGCAACCTATTTGCTACTAGTATTCTTAATTATACTATACTTTTTAAAAACTTTAAGGCTAAAATTCTGTTTATCTGCATTATCTATATACTATGCATTAGAAATATTATGCTAAGAGATATAGAAGATATATAGAATAGAAGCTAGATTGCTTTTAAAGTTAAACTTATATAGGAGAAAATTAAATCTATATTAAAGTTAGAAATAGTTTTATAAGTCTTATGTAACACTTACCTCTTATATAGTATAAAGAAATATAATAATTAACTATCTTTGCCTTAGTAAGCAATACTAATATTTAGAAGATTTATATATAGGCGATTAGTGCAACTGTTAATCTTATACTAGATAAAGTACTAGCGCCTACTCTTAACGAATTTAAAGTCTGCTAGATAGAGCTATAAGTAGACAAAGTTAAAAGTAATTAGCATAGCTTTTCTATGCTTAAAATTGCGTTCTCTATATAATATAATAGCCTAACAGATTTCTAAGACGCCTATATAAGCGTTGTAGTAGTTAGTAATTATACTTAGTTTAAGTAGCTTAAGTATATTTATAGTTTAAGGTCTCTAGCTAGGAAAGTATGCTCTAGTATGCAGATTTATATAATCTGCTTTGCTGCGCGCGCAGGCCTATACCTAGCGCACTGCTTTATTAAGAAGAGCTATAGGCATTTAGTAGGCAGAGCTCTAGAGATTAAGAGAGCTATTAGTAGATATATTAACAGTTATAGTCTTTAAGATATTAAGCTAGAATTCTCTGCTTAGTTTGTTATAGCCTTTAGGTAGATAAGGTAGCTGCGTATTTAGTATAAGCTTAATATATTAAGAGTTAGCAGTAGTAATATAGATATAGAATATAATGCTACAGTTCTGCCTAATTATTGTTAAGTAGGTCTAGCTAAACAGAGCAATAACTATAGTGCTCTTAATATTAAATAGTACTAACGTTTTATAATTAGCAGTATTCTTATGCGTTTAAATATAGTTGTAGAGGTTCTAAAACTAATAGGCGTAGCTACGAACGTAATTAGTAAGTAGATTAGGTATATAGTCTAAAACGCTGTTAATAGCAGCAAATTTAAAGGCGCGAATAATATATACGTTTTAATATAAGATAGCAAAGATATTAGCCTTAAATTATAGCCTATAGTTTTGCATAATAAGCAGATTAAGTATTATAAGAATTAACGCTGTAGTAAAGTTTATTACTGCAGTAGACCTAGCGCTAATTGTAGGTAGAGAGCAGTTATTACGCAGTTATAAGTAAGTATTTATAGAGGCATTATAACGTTTACGCTAGCTTAATTTAGCTTAGCAGTCTCGCTATTAGCTAACGTACCTAGATATAAGTAACAGCCTTAGAAAGTTTAAATAGTAGCGCAGGTACTATCGTTATAGAATACTACTATAGCTTAACTAAAAAGCTAATAGCTCTATTAATAATACGTTAATATAGAATTAATCTTTCTCTAGTTACCTATTCTAGAAACCTACGTATGCAGAATATATTTAGTAACTAGCTATTAGAGACTAAATTACAGACAGCACTAGAAAGGCTAAGCTAAATTCTAATAAGCTTACTATGCTTATACTAAATAAAGTTGCGTTATGCTTTAACTATAGAGAGTTCTTCTTCTATTACTCTAGTTATAATTAACTAAAGAAGAGAACAAAACGCGCTACGCCTGCGCTAGAGTATATTAATAGAGGCTTATAAATAGTTTAATATTAAGCTAACTATTGTTATTAAAGCTCTATTTTCTAGCAATTATTTACATAGATTATATATAGAACGAGTTAAACTATTAGAGTTTTGCAGTAAGCTTATACTAAGCCTAGTTTCTTATATGCAATGCGCTTATTAACCTACTATTAACTCTTACGCTAGTGCACTCTCTCTAGTATGCATTATATAGTATAGCTACTATCTACTGCACTTCTTACTCTTCTTTTATTATTCTATAGACACTAGACTTATTCTACCTTATTCTAAGTGCAGACTTTATTAATTAAATTAGGCTAAAAGCAAAGAGCAATAATAATTAGATTTTTAGACTTAGAGCGCTTTAGGTGCAAAAAGAAAAACCTAAGTCTAGCTACTACTAAAACTCTTAGCAGCATAAGGAACTTATAAATTTACTTAAGCTCTTTCTAATTGCTAGCGTTAAGAACTTATATTACGTAATCTATACTTATTATTACTATAAGCTATCTCTATTTGCATAATACTACCTTGCTAGATATATACTACGTCTAACTTAACTAACCTATAACACTCTACTTAGCATAGCAAACTTAGTTCTATAAGCTAATATAATAGAGCATAATCTAGCTAAGCCTAATAGTTAACGCTATAGGCGCTTAAAGAGACTTACTAAGAAGAATAGACTTTAAGCTCTAAATAAAGATAAGATAGTAGATAAAGGTTAAGGTTTAGATATAAGCAAGAAGAACTAGTAGAGTATAGGATTATAGAATTACGCTAGAAGATATCTATAAGCAAGTTTATGTTTAAGAAACGCATGCGTAAGAAGTATAAGAATGTTTGTAGTAAGCATTTAAATGCTATAACTAGCTCTTATTACTTATAATGCCTTGCTATTAAAGCATTACTATAACTTCTCTAACTCTAGCAACTCTACTATCTCTAACAGCAGATTAAAAATTAAAAAAGAGCTGCAAATAGGCAATTAGCGCAAAGCACGAATTTACTAATTTTAAACTACTAATATAGACTAATAGAGAGCGCTTTAATAAATGCAAAGCTACTAAAAATCTTATTACTGCTATGCAGTGCGTCTGCAAATACTTTATTCAATATAAATATTATCTACTAGAATTTAACTAAGAGTATCTTTTCTCTCTTAAATATAAATACAGTAGTGCAGCAGACTAGAAGCTATAAAAATAGTAAGATAAGGAACTAGAGTCTATCTCTCTCTATTTAACTAGAGCAAATAAGCATGCTGTTAATTCTAATATTAAACTACTAATTAAATTAGGCCTTATAGGTATTTAAAAGAGTTAATTAGATACTTATAATAATGCTCTCTGCTTATAAGAAGTTGCTAGAATTTAGACTTAATAGACTAAACTTCTAGACGATAGACTTTAAAAGTAGTTTAAGGATCTTCTAGTTACCTTTAAGAAAGCTATGCGCTTAAAGAAGATAACCTTATACTATAGTTACTAAGATAATGCAGAAAGTCTTATAGATATAAAGTAGGCCTTAGTAGCTCTCTAAATAGACCTGCATAGCATATTATAGTTCCTCTTAAGAGAACTATCTTTAGAGATCTTAGATAGAGCTAAATATAAGTATAGATTTCTTCTACTACATTATACTATAATTGCTATCG